TCCCCTTTTTCCTGCTCTTCCAGCCTGCTACTCTGGGCAGGCCTGAGTTTCCTCTCCTCCCCTAATCCCTTCGGCTGATTGTTCTTCTCTCTGGCTTCCTGGATTTTATCCCATTTCTCCTGCTCTTCCGGCCTGCTACTCTGGGCGTCCCTGAGTTGTCTCTCGTCACCTGTAACCCTGCGGCTGACTGCTCTTCTGTCCCGGTTCAAGGCTTTTATCCCCTTTCTCCTGCTCTGGCCTGCTACTCTGGGCATCCCTGCATTGTCTCTCGTCACCTGTAACCCTGCGGCTGACTGCTCTTCTGTCCGGGTTCAAGGCTTTTATCCCCTTTCTCCTGTTCTTCCGGCCTGCTACTCTGGGCGGGCCTGAGTTTCCCCTCCTCACCTAATCCCTTCGGCTGATTGCTCTTCTTTCTGGCTTCCTGGATTTTATCCCCTTTCTCCTGCTCTTCCGCCCTGCTACTCTGGGCGGGCTTGAGTTTCCTCTCCTCGCCTAATCCCTTCGGCTGATTGCTCTTCTCTCTGGCTTCCTGGATTTTATCCCCTTTCTCCTGCTGTTCCGGCCGCTACTCTGGGCGTCCCTGAGTTGTCTCTCCTCACCTGTAACCCTGGGGCTGAAGAATAATGTAGAGTCTGCAAAACACTGCATAATATGGATGAACTTGTAGGACATATGCTGAGTGAAATAAGTCAGTCACAAAAGGACAAATATAGTATTAGTTCATTGCTGTGGAGGGTCAAGGAAAGGTTTATATATGGAGGGATACTTTCTTTGTTGGTTGCCAGGGGTGGGAGGGAGGGGAGGGAACACTGCAAAAAAAAAAAAAGATGCATTAACTTAGGTCATTTTAGTTTTGTGTATTTCACTGTACATAAATTATATTTCAGTAAAATGCATTTTAAAAAAAAGATAAGTGCTTAGAAGATTATATATCCACTGTTCTGGTTACGTGGTGCCACTCTGACAGGAATAGACCACAAATGGGATGGCTTGAACAAACAGGAGTTTATCCTTTTACAGTTCTGGAGGCTAGAAGTCCGAGTTCAAAGTGCCAGGCTCTAGGGGCTATGTGAAAGCCCCTTGACCTTGGGCTTCAGCTCTGCCTCTTGCTCCCAGCCCACTGAAGCTAGAGGC